TCTTCAACGACATGCTGACGAGAGGCGTACTCCCGAACACTCAGGTTTACAACATGCTCATACACGGTTTCTGCTCGGTTGGAAAAATCGACGATGCCATTAGGGTTTTCAACGAGATGTTAAACAATAATAAAGTGCGTCCCACCATTGTGACGTACAATGCGCTCGTGAAGGGGCAATGCAGGAAAAACAGGCTCCAAGAGGCAGAAGAATTAGCCTTTAGTGTTGCTCGTGTAGGCTTGACTCCTGATGTGATCACGTTCAATACCTTGATCTACGGGTACTCTGCTGCGGGCGAACTGGACAAGTGTCTTGAATTGTACGAGAAGTTGAAATCGTCTGGGCTGAGGCCCACGCTAAGCACGTACCACCCGCTGATAAGCGTGAGCAGAAAGGACAGGCTGGACCTCGTCGAGAAATTCGTTCAAGAAATGTCGAAATTCGACTTGGCCCTCGACCGAGTTATTTACAATGGGCTCGTTCAGTGCTACGTACAGCATGGAGACATTGAAAAGGCTAACCAGCTGTGGCAAGAGATGTTGGGTTCAGGGATTTGTGCGGACAAGATTACTTACAATAGCTTGATAACCGGATGCTTGAAGGAAGGGAATATGAAGGGTGCAGGAGATCTTTTTGAAGGCATGATTTCGAGAGGAATTGCGCCGAGTGACGAGACTTTCAACACGTTGATCGAGGGGCATTGCAAGCTGGGGAATTTTAGTGGGGCTTATGTGTGGTATGAGGAGATGTTGAGAGCCGGGCTTCTGCCGCGTGTGTCGGTCTGTAACGGGCTTCTTTCTGGGCTGAGAGAGGAAGGGATGTTGGAGGAGGCTGAGATTATGAGCTCTCAAATGAGTGCTAAGGGAGTTGAGCAGGGTTCGAACGAGGATCGCTCGGCTGTTCACTGCTGAGGTGATGTTTGATTGAGGTTGTGATTGTAATGATTGAAACATTTTCAGGGTATTTATTGACTGTTGTCATTTCAAGAGTAGTTTGAAATTTGAAGAGGGGAGCATAGTTGGTGTGGTTATGTTTGATCAGTTGAAAAGATGGTCTCAGACTCTCTCGCAGAATGTGTTCTGAGATTGGGCATCACTTAAATGGTTTTAAATTAAGAATTTTCGCTCAATTTAAAATTAAAAAAAAAAAGGGCCCAATTATACCATGTCAGCCCAGTTTATAAATTGGGCACAAACCAAATTTTTTCTGGGCCCAAACCAAAAATACTTTTGAAAATAATACATTGACTTTGTATACTTTCTCCCTTAAATTACATGATTTGTAAATAAAAAAGTGAACAAAAGTATAATAATGTATAAATGTGCATTTTTGTTAATTGCCAAACTAGTGCGTGGCCCGTGTGATGCACGGGAAAACAATATTACGATTGTAATATAAATTAAATATATAAATAACATTAATTATGATTTATCCATTGTTTTTAAATTAAATCGGGTTGGACACAGTCCGATCGGATGGACCGAGGATCGGTTTATAACCAGTCTAGTTCGCTCGAATAAAATATTTGCTCTCGAATCTGTCAATACCAGTCGGTTGGACAGGTAGGATCGATACGATTTTCTAAATAAATTTTGTTATATTTAAAGTTATTTTAAATAAAATTAAATATTTAAATAAAATAGAGATTTATAGATTATTTATCCATTAGTTTAAACATTTGAATTTTATAAATTGTTCAGATATCCAAGTAACACATTTTATTTAAATTTGTTACAAAAAATTTATAGATTATTTATCCATTAGTTTAAACATTTGAATTTATAAATGGTTCAGATATCCAAGTAACACATTTTATTTAAATTTGTTACAAAAAGTACTATATATATATATATATATATATATATATATATATAAATGTTTATAAATTAAAATTTGAACAAACCACAAATGATTTAATAAAATAGTTTGATCGTTTCGATGATGGTCCAGTTCTAAAAATCTTATATTTACTGTACATCAATAAATATTATAATAAAATATTATTTAATTCACATAAATATTAATAAAATGATATATAAGTATTCATAAATCATTAAACATGTTGTAATAAAAGTATTGTTAATACGATTATTTGAAGTTTGGACTACATCACATTCACGTAATAAAATATTTTCAATATAAAATTTATATTTAGGTTCAATAATCGATTTGGTGTGGTCGAACTCATACATAATTTAGTCACCTGGGACCAACCATGCTGTGTCAAATTTTTTGACTATCTTAAATATCACTTAAAAGTAATTCAATCAACCTGGGCAGTACCCTAATTCAATCACCCGATTGACCCGAAGAAATTTTCTTATTTTCTTTGAATATATTTAATTTAAACCGATTGGGTAGGCTTCCGCCAGGCTCGCCATGTAATCAGCCGCATAATTGGCTTCTCTATGTACGTGTTGGATAGAAAGATATACTAATTAATGTAGCTGAATAAAATGATTTTTCAAAATATAAGATATTTATAATTCTTAATATTTGCTTACAATATTATTATTTTTAACGGATTATTATATATTCCTTACATAAAAACCAAAATATATATTTACTATATTTTTAAAATAATTTCATAAAGTTACAAAAAATAAATATTTTGGGCGCATAAGTGGCGTCTCGACCGCTTAGATCACAGCCTAGACCGTCTCGCCTAACTCACCTAATTGCTCGAGCACCTAGAAAGATCAGGCGCCTAGAAACACCGCCTGAACGAAAATTCTAACATAAAGTGCATGTTTGGATATAAATCATGTTCAAACAAATATAATCACAAAATTAAATTTAACTCAACTAAACTCTCCTCAATATTATAAATATAATTAAATAATACCAATCAATCATTTTCACACATCACGTCAGTTTTATTTCACTATTCATTCACTCACGTATAGTTACACATGACTTCCAATCACATCTCTCATACTTTTACATCAAATAAAATTTAATCATTTTATTTTAGATAGTATTATAATAAAAACTCAATTATCATGCAAACATAATTCAACCAACTTTTCTAAAATTAACTCAGGCTAACCAAAAATCTAATTAAGCTATGTTTGGTAGACAAATAAGCTAGCTTATAGCTTATTTGGTTAGCTTATAAGCTTTCCGTTTCCAAATAAGCTCCGTTTGGTAGGACAAGCTTTTTTAAAAAGCTCGAGCTTATTTGATACGCTTATTTAGGTAGCTTTTCAAATAAGCTAGTTGAAATTTTTATTTCAGCTAGCTTATCAATTAATTTTACAAAACACTTTTATCATATAAGTTAACTTTTTAGCTATAAGTCATAAGCTAAAAAATTACTGATAAGCTATAAGCTAGCTTATCAGCTATCAGCTAGTTTTACCAAACATAGCCTAAAAAACTTATTTGCTTAATGTGTAATCTTATTTTCAGAACTCTGGTATTATCCTTTAGCTTTGGTGTGAATTTACAAATTTTGACTAATATGTTTGGTAGACAAATAAGTTAGCTTTTAGCTTATTTGGTTGGCTTATAAGCTTCTTTTATTTAAATAAGCTTCGTCTGGTAAGGCGCACTTTTTAAAAAAGTTCGAGCTTATATAAGCTAGTTTTTCAACTATAAGTTATAAGATAGTTTGTCAGTTAGTTGTACCAAACATAAACATAGCCTAACTTTCTTTTTCAATTTTTGACATCAAATTTCTTTCATGCATCCTTATCGCCCGTGACATGCAACACCACGGGCGTTCAGGTTCGGTCCGCATGAGTCGTGACGCCACTAGTTTTCAGCTGATTTTCAAATGGCTGTTTTGTTCTTAAATACATTCTTTTATTGGCTTAGTTGATTTTCTAATGGCTATTTTTGTTCTTAAATACATTTTTTTTATTGGCTTCCTAATAGTTGATAAATAAGAATAAAGCATATTCGGGTCCATTATCGAATATGCTAGTTTTTATTTTATGACAAGCTTATTGGAAATTTGAAAAACTTGCGTGTTGGGGTTTACTCGCTCTGCCCAATTTTATTGAATAGGAAAGATAACTAAATAAAGTTATAAATTAACTTATATTATTAAAAAATAATTAAAGTTCATTGATATTGAAGTCGTATTCAAAAGTCAAAACCAAAAAATCCAATTACCGCACACTGTTTTCAGATTTTCACATCTAAGAGCATCTCCAATGCTCAACTTTCAACATTAATTAAATTTGAACACATGTCAATCAATGGATTAATGTTTAATCTACATGAATTGAATGTTAAAAGAATAGGACTTTCATTTGAATTGTTGCCTCCAATGCATCCATTCAACAACCATACAATTTGTATATGTGGATTTATTCAATTAGTAATAAAATCAAAGAGTATATTAGAAAAAAACCACAAATTCCAATAATTATATGCATGATGTTATTTTTTGTTGATTCAGTTATTTTTATTTATATCATCAAATTTAAAAAATTATTATTTATTCAATAATTTCTCAGTTACAATATGTATAATCACACAATAAATATTTTTTTAATTGGTTCAAAATAAAACAACAAAATATTAAAATTGCAATAACTCAACAAACAAATATCATGAACATAATATTTTACTTTTAAGGACATTATTATTGATAAATTTTTTAAATTTTAGTTGTAACTCATCAAATAATTATAATGTATTCAAATAAATTCTCAAATGTTTTATTGGATAAATGTAAGGGTGGGATTTTTCCAAGTTTATGAAAAGCTCAAAATTTGTGTCAAATAATTATCAAAATGATGAGTCATCATGTTAGAAAGAATGTGAGAAATTAGAAAGTGAGCTTGACAATGTTAACATTAATTTCTTACACATAAGCATGAAAGGACCCATAATCTAATGCATTGGAGGATATATTACTCACACACTTTCTATGTAGATTAGATGGATAACTTTTTACCCTTTCAAAAGAATGCATTAGAGATGCTCTAAGTATCAAAATTCAATGCTTTGCATTAAAAAATGAAAAATGCTCTTTCCTTTTATTAGTTTTCCAAAGCATTAAAGCACAGAAAGTACTCGAACCATTTTTCTTGTTGCCCAAACAACCTCAATCGCATCTAAATCAACGGCCCTAATTAAGCCTTGACCAGTCTAGAAATACCCAACCTTTCATCATTTCTGCTCACTGTTTATTCTCACTCTAAAACTCGCCTTCGAAGCCGCTCCCTCTCTCTCAGATCTAAACTCTCTCTGCAAAAATGGCGACCATCAAGAGCGTCCACGCCCGTCAGATCTTCGACAGCCGTGGCAATCCTACGGTTGAGGTTCGTCCTTTGTACCGNTTTTTTTTTTTTTTTTTTTTTGGTGTAACAGTTTTTGTTTTGGATTAGATTGGTTTTCTGATGAGTCCGTTTGGAGATTAGTATTCTGATTTGCTTTTGTTTTCTAGATTTGTTTGTGTTCGGATGAACCGATTGAAATAGAATAGTGTTCATTTGCCTGATTTTGCTGAAATTGTGCTGTAATGATGTGTGGCGGTTGCGAATTAATTGCAGGTTGATGTGCACACATCGAACGGTATTTGTGCTAGAGCTGCTGTTCCTAGTGGTGCATCTACTGGTAATTTCCATTAATCACGCTCCCCTTTCTCTTGTATTCACTCACTGATGTTTGATTCAATATCATCATTGCAAATTTTATTGAAAGGTTAATGTAAGAATGTTTACCCTCGATGTAAGCAAAGATGCTTTAGGCTTTGTGATGGAAATTTTATTTTGTCTTGCAAGATTATTCGAATTTAAATCTTGTGATTTTACGCACATGCAAGAAAAAAGATGTTATATACCTTGTATGCCTTTATCTCTTGGCTTTTACACAGAGATGAAACACACACACTTGTATTGAAATTTGTGCTTTCATGTTAGGAATATACGAGGCTCTGGAACTGCGAGATGGAGGATCTGACTACCTTGGCAAGGGTGTCTCAAAGGTTATTGATAGTGGATTATCCATTACTTGTTTATCCCAATTCAATTTATGATGCTGATGTTTTGTTTTTCTTTTCATATTAATGTAGGCTGTTAACAATGTCAACGCCATTATTGGACCTGCCCTAGTTGGAAAGGTATCTTCTTGACAACTTATGCCACTTTTCTGTTTTTGTTCGTCAAATATTTTGAATTTTTAATGCATCAGTGCCCTAAATGTCCATTTAGTTTATATGTAATTGGCAAGCCCCAGTGAGATCATTTTGCTTTCTTTTACAGGACCCAACAGATCAGACTGCTATTGACAATTTCATGGTTCAACAACTTGATGGCACTCAGAATGAGTGGGGTTGGTGCAAACAGAAGGTAATTATAAATTTGTTTTATCTGTGTGACTTTCATCCTTTGTAAGAGTATGTAGGAAAAATATATTTACCTGATTGTGTGAATTTTTGGGTGCTAAAAGCTTGGTGCAAATGCTATTCTTGCTGTGTCCCTTGCGGTGTGCAAAGCTGGAGCTGCTGTCCTCAATATCCCTTTGTACAAGGTATACTGAACAGATAGTTTTTTATTCTCATGTTTTCTTTTAACTACTATTATTATTATTTAACCAAATTATTTATTTTATCAGTCTGTTTCTTCTTTTCACCCTATCATCATTTGCATGGTTGTACTTTCCACTTTCAGCACATTGCTAACCTAGCTGGCAACAAGAAGCTTGTGCTCCCTGTCCCTGCTTTCAATGTCATCAATGGTGGTTCACATGCTGGAAACAAACTGGCCATGCAGGCATGTATCTTTTGTCCTGCGTGTGGGTATACTGACTTTCTTACATTCCTATTTATTGACACATAAACTCTTGTTTACAGGAGTTCATGATTCTCCCAGTTGGGGCTTCTTCTTTCAAGGAGGCCATGAAGATGGGTGTGGAAGTGTACCACCATCTGAAGGTGAGTCTCATATTCGGTTTCACGTTTCTTTTTATTTATACCTCTTAAGAAAAGAAAATTATTGCATTATTGTGCTCGTGCTATGAATTTAAAATTCATGTCCACTAAAATATTTAATTTATTGTGATGTCAGTCTGTTATTAAGAAGAAATATGGTCAGGATGCCACCAATGTTGGAGATGAGGGTGGCTTTGCTCCCAACATTCAGGTAATGTTGTTTCTTTTTAAGATGAACTGAACCTTGATTGCTTTT